CGGGCGGGGCTCGGGCGGGGGTGGGGCTCGGGCGGGGGGCGGGGCTGCCCACACCACCATGAGCCGAGTGCACGTCCTGGCCCCTTGGGTGCGGGCTGACATGCAGTGGGGGATGCCAGCAGAGTGCTGTTCGCGCTTGCACTCTCGTGCTCGCTCTCTCACGCACACTCACGATTAGCGAGCTGTGTGCACCACACATTCTACCCCGGGGCTGTGTGAGGGCGCCTGCCCTGGTATTTATGAAGAAATACCTCCTGCTCGTGGGGGGGGTGGTGTCCCCTTCTGAGTGCAGCCCCATGTCCTTGCCCCAGGATTGAGGTGGACGACAGGACGGAAGCCTACCTCCGAGTCCTGCAGCAGAAGGTCACCTCGGACACGCAGATAGTGAGTGTGGTGGGCAGCTGCGGTACAGGGCCTGAGAGGCCGGAGCCTCCCGTGCGTGGCTAGGTCTCTGAGGGAGCCCAGAGTCCATGCTTCATGGCTCGGGGTGGCTGCACTCATGCTGTTGGCTGAGGGCCAGAGCGGGTGGAGCGCACCCTGCAATGGGGCGGAAGGGCAGGGGCGTGGGGCCACCATGCCGTCCTAGTCCCAGGCTGCTATTCCTCTAGGAAGCTTGGAGCAGCAGATATGCCCACAGGAGCGAGGGGTGGGAGTGGGAGGGAGGGCTGAGGCCCTAGAGGGTAGTTGGGGGTGGGAGGGTACAGCAGCTCACGGGAGATGTGGCCGGCTCTGGGGTCGGAGTCTTGATCAGTTTGGGCTTTCCCGTCAGATTTTATGGCCTGGGTGGCATGGACTCTGGAGCCAAATTGCTGGCCACTCAGCCTAAGCCAGCGTAGCAGGACCAGCTGGGACTGGGCTGTCTGCTCAGGGCATAGCCAGAGCTTGGAGACTGACACAGGCTCCCTGAAGGCTTGGGGGGCTGCGGAACCCGGCCCTTCCTCTGGGCTCTGCCCTGTGCGGCGCTCCTCGGGTGCAGTCTAAGGCCGCCTCTGCTCTTGCCGTTGTCACAGGAAGGGATCTGTGCTGTGCCCATCCTGCTGCCGCCCAGGCCCAGACCCCAGGGTTAGAGCACCCAGGGCCCCCGCTGCTCACCGCAGGCACTGCTGAGTCTCAGGTGTATGCTCTGAGGCCAGAGTTTGGCCTCACAGAGAGTTAAAGTTCTCTCTCCTCCATCCCCCTTGGCACCCAGAACTGTGGAGATGGGTGTGGTCGTGTTGTTGCTGCTGACTAGGTGGCACCCACAGGGCAAGCCTTATCAGTACAGGGACAGTGCCACCACATCCCAGCCGTGCCACTCGCTGGGCTCAGTCTGCCTGAGCAGCAGACAGGCCCTGCTCCAAGGGGGTAGTAGGAATGCCCCGCCAGGACTCCTGGCGAGGGTGAGCGACGTGGGGTTTGCTCTGCTGGGTCCCAAGCACAGGGCTGCAGAGTGCAGGGCTGCATTCAGGGAGCCTCATACAGGGAGGGCAGCGGTCCAGGGCTGAGGTCACACAGACACGGCGCTCCGAGGGAGGGGTTGTTGCTCGAAAGTTTCTGTCTCGGGCTGCTTTTCATCACCAGTGGCTGCTGTTCCTGGCTTGAATGGAGGCATTAGGGGGGCCCTGGGCCGTGAGAAGCGAGTACAGGACGGATTCCCCCTTCTGAGACCTCACCCGAGATCCCCAGCCCTTGCTCCACAGGGGCAGAGACGGACAGGGAAACACTGCCTGGGCTTGCTTCGCCCACAGGGCCCTGTGTTGGCCGGCCCTCGCTTAGCCCCAGTGCATTCTGAGATGGCACTGGCTGAGCGCTGCCATCGCTGGCCACACAGATGCAGTGAAGGGCGGTTTTCTCTTGTCGGGGGCTGAAGGAGGGAAAGATCAGACACCGGAATCCATTCTGGGGATGACAGCAGGGAGCTCAGGCTGGGTGCAGCGCCAGAACTGGGGCAGGGGACGTGCAGGTCAGGCACTTGGTGTTGACTCCAGAATGCGCTTGCCTGGCTAGGACGGTTCACACACTGTTCCGGATCCCAAGCCAGGAGAGGTCTGAGTTTAGGCCCCCAGGGCTGGGGCACCAACAGCTGAACTGGGAACATTGTAGCAACCGTGTGTCACTGCTCGCGGGTCCCATCCAGTGTCTAGGTGACTCCGAGCTGGTCGGGGTGCGAAGACCCCTGCTTGCCAGGGGTTGGGTTTCCAGTGCTTTCCTGCTTAGCCTTGTTCCCTGTGCAGCATCAGTCCCCTGGATGGGCGTGGCCCTGCTGTCCACACGTGGACACCCGCGGGAGGCCCTATGTGCTGCTCCTCACAGGGCCCATGGCGGCTGAGCTCCCCACTCGGAGACGCCTGGGCATCGCAGCTTGCGCAGCAGCCCACGCTGTCTCCGGGAGCAGAGCACTTGGCTCTGCTCCTCCCTTGCTGCTGGCTCAGCCATCAGCTGCTCTGCCACCCTTTGCGTCCACTCCTTCGGATAAACATCGCCGCTGATTTTTGCTCAAAAGTAAAGAAACATCTTATTTGTGCACAGGTTGTCTGTCTACTCTCGAGTAGCCGGAAGGACAAATACGATGCCATCAAAAAGTACCTGTGCACGGACTGCCCCACGCCCAGCCAGTGCGTGGTGGCCCGCACCCTGGGCAAGCAGCAGACTGTCATGGCCATCGCCACCAAGATTGCCCTGCAGATGAACTGCAAGATGGGTGGCGAGCTCTGGAGGGTGGACATGCCGGTGAGCCGGTGCAGTGGGAAGGCGCATCGGCGAGGGGGCGGGCTTTCTGGGGCTGCTGTGCATCCCCTCTGAAACGCCACCATCCTCGCTGAAGCTCAAGCTGGCCATGATCGTGGGCATTGACTGCTACCACGACACCACTGCAGGCCGGAGGTCGATCGCAGGCTTCGTGGCCAGTATCAACGAAGGGATGACCCGGTGAGTGGGGGCGGGGCTGGGTGGCATCAAGGCTGGGAGCGAGCACCTGTCAGCAGATGTGGCGTGTGGCTGGCCGTGGAGTCTGTCACCTGTGGCCTCACTGAGGCCTTCCTTGCACTTGTCTGTGGCCCCTGAGAAGTGACTCCATGTCCTCAGTACAGAAGATCCAGTGCACTCAGATTCTGGGCTCCATCTGGTAAGCGCCCTCTTGGTGCTTTTCTAGGGCTAGGGGCCAGAGAAGATGGCCAAGGACACGTGGCGGGCCGTTGCCCACGTGTCTGGGCTTCCCAGGCATTTGAAGTGTATTGGGTGTGTACAGAGCAGGCGAAGCCGCTGGGGTGTGGGGTTGCCCCTGACAGCACAACAGGGTGTGACAGCTTCCTCCAATACTGGCTCCCTGCAGGTGCGCTGCAGCCTCAGAACCAGGGCAAACTCCAGCTGGGGCTTCCAGGGGCTTCCTGGCCTCTGGCTGCTCTGCTGGGGTCATGGAGCACGTGGGAGGGGTGTGGGGTGCCCCAGGCTGGCGTGGGGTACGGCCCCACCTGGGTGCTTCCCTGCCCACAGCTGGTTCTCCCGCTGCGTCTTCCAAGACCGAGGCCAGGAGCTGGTGGACGGGCTCAAGGTGTGCCTGCAAGGTGGGTCTGCGGTGGGAGCCGGCCCCAGCGCACAGCCCTAGGCGTTTCGTTCTTTAACATTTGCTGCTTGCATCCAGCGGCACTGCGGGCCTGGAACAGCTGCAACGAGTACATGCCAAGCCGGATCATCGTGTACCGGGACGGTGTGGGGGACGGCCAGCTGAAGACACTGGTGAACTACGAGGTCCCCCAGTTCTTGGACTGCCTCAAGTCCCTTGGGAGAGGCTACAGGTAAACCCACAGGCATCCGCACCCACAGCAAGGCCGCCTGCCTGGATTCTGCCAAGAGCCACCACAGGAGGCGGGGAGCGGAGCAGCTGTGTGCTGCCAGGGTGGGCCTGGGGGCGGCAGGACACGCAGAGCGCGCCGCACCATGCTGGGGATGTGAAGGCTGCCGAGAAAACCCTGAAGAGACGTGGAGCATTGGTTAAACACCAAGGCTCGCTCTCGCCTGCTGTCTGACAGCAGCATTGCTTCTGGCTTGTAGGGCTGCGCTGTGCTCAGGCCTCGGAGTTCATGGGCTGAGGGCAGGGCGAGGTGCCCAGTCCTCTCTCAGGCCACAGCCGGCCATCGCGCTCACCCTGTGTTAGCCCCCGAGCTCCGAGTTTATTTGGGGTTTGCTGTTGTCTGCACCTGCATGCCTTGCTCTGAGCCCAGGCCGGTGTGGCAGAGGTCTTGGAGACGGACAGCCCAACACCTGCTCTGCCGGGCCGGGCCGGGCCAGGCCGTGTGGGGCCGGTGGGGACAGTTCAGTACAGCCCTGTCCCTGCTCCCAGGAGAGGTCAGCGTCCTGGCCTCAGCAGCAGGCCCGGGCTTGCTTCCCGCCCCCAGGTGAGGGCCACAGAGGCCTGTCCTCCGGGGAGCTGAGCCCGTTGCCCAAGGGATCAGGAAGCCTCTCACTAGTGCTCCACGCCGGGGTGCTGCCTGGCAGTCATGAGCACAAGTGTGTGACCCAGGGACCTGGAGGAGCCTGCCCGGGCGGACAGATCCCGGAGGCTGGGGCAGGACACGCTGGGCCGTGGCACTGTCCTGCTCCTGTCACGGGCCGTGAGCACCAGTCGGGTCCTTGCCTTGTCTGGATGCAGAGCTCAGTCACAAGGGCCCAGCATGAGGGGAGTGGTGTGGCTGAGGTGGCCGCAGTGAGTAGGGCTGCCCAGGTGACTGCTGTGCTGCTTCCTCGAGCCCGAGGCTGACGGTGATTGTGGTGAAGAAACGCGTGAACGCCAGATTTTTTGCTCAGTCTGGAGGAAAACTTCAGAACCCCCTGCCTGGGACTGTCATCGACGTGGAGGTTACCAGGCCCGAATGGTGAGTCTGTGGGGACAGCTTGGTGTCTTCCACACGTGGCCGTCTAGGGGTGTCCACTTGAACAGGCCCACGGCGCCACAAGGTCTCGCTCCCACCTCAACCTCCTCACGCAAACCCACGGCATCGGTGTCTGGGACCCGTGGACTGGGAGGACCCACAGTCAGGCCCTGCTCCTATGTGGCGGCTGCCACCTGCCTTTGCCTATGCCCTCGCCCACAGTTTTCCAGTGTAGTGTACATGAGTCACGTGTGTGAGGCTCCAGAGATGGTGGCCGTGAGAAGACTGCTGTGCCCCACACAGCGGTGCACATGGCCAGCGGCCTTTCTGCTGTGGTACTGGGGACCCGAAGGCACCCACAGAGTGAATTCTGAGAAGCCCTGCCTGGCTGCAGGGAGGTGGCTCAGTGTTTGTGGTGTCCTGTGAGGACCAAACGCCGCCTTCCCCTTGGGGAGTGCGTGTGCAGGACCACTGTCCCGCAAGGGTGGCCAGATGGTCCACACAGACTGCTGAACCGGAACTTGTTGGTCTCAGGCACCGGAATAAGGAATGTGCAATGTGTGGAACTCGTGTGGACAGGTGCACCAGGTGCCCTGGGGTCCTGGAGCCCTTGTCCTCCCAGCAGGAGCCATGCAGATGGCTCTGGGCTCTGACTTGAGTCTGCAGGGGCATGGAGAGCTGTGGCATGTGTGGCCTTCTGACTGTGGGTCGCATGGGGTTGCAGGATCTGCAGATGAAGGCAAGGCCAGGGGCAGAGCTGACCCTGAGCGACCCACTGGCAGAGGATTTTTTTTTTTTTTTTTTTTTTTTTTTGCTCCGAATGCCTTCGGGGCAGGTTTGGCTGGCTTGAGTTGTGGGGATTGAACCACAGCAACCTGAGCCTGACTGCTTTGTTGAAGCAGCCGCTTGAAGAACTGAGCTAAGGGGCAGGCCCCCCTGAGCGATCCACAGTATGCCTTGTGGCTCGGGCTCTCCACAGGCCATGCTGCCCCATTCAGTCCTCTTGTGTCCCCTCTTAAAGCTTTGCTCAAAATCCTTAATGTTGAAAATTATTAATGTATCTAGTGTAGGGTCTGCAGGGTCTCACTATGTAGATCGGACTCATAGTGATCTTCCTGTTTTCAGCCTCCCAAGCACTAGGATTACAGAGACTTGATGTGCTTCTTAATGCTGTACTTTTAATGTATTTAGTGTAGGGTCTCGGGACCTACAGACCCTGCACTGAATACATCAAATACGTCTCCTGCAGACCTTACACTAAATATATCAAAAATACCTGAGCACCTGTGAGGGATGACTCAGGCACAGGGCGGCCGCTGCTGGAAGCTACTGGGCTCGGCCTCCTGTGAGCTGGGAGGCGCCATTGCAGGACCCCAGCCCTCCTGCCTGGCCCAGCGGGGTGTGGCTGGGGGCCTGGAGAGGAGACAGCGACTTCCCCGTGTGCCCTCAGTCGGGGTGTGCAGAGGGCCCCCAGGGCTTCCCACAGGAGAGCTCCCTCCCGTCACTGCAGGTACGACTTCTTCATCGTCAGCCAGGCTGTGAGGAGTGGCAGCGTGTCCCCGACACACTACAACGTCATCTATGACAGCAGTGGGCTGAAGCCGGACCACATCCAGCGGCTGACGTACAAGCTGTGCCACATCTACTACAACTGGCCGGTGAGTGTCCCGAGGCCCAGGCTCTGCCGTGGCTGGAGGGCAGCCCTACAGCCACGTGCGGCCCAGGTGACGGCGCGTCTCTCCCCACAGGGCATCATCCGGGTCCCTGCTCCATGCCAGTACGCACACAAGCTGGCCTTCCTGGTGGGCCAGAGCATCCACAGGGAGCCCAACCTGTCCCTGTCCAACCGCCTCTACTACCTGTGACTTCGCCCGCTGCCACCTGTGCCCTCCTGGCTGGCCGAGGAAATAGGGCTTCCCTGTCGCCTTTCCGGTGAAGCTTGGGAAGGGCCTGGAAAAGCTAGAGTTAATTGTGTTGCTATTCAGTTTGGCTTCCTTCATAGGTAAAAGTTAAGGCTTTAAAATTATAACTTGCTGGTTTTTCATAAGTGTGTTATAAAAAATGTTTGTTTTGAAAAATGTGAATAAGGCACTCTAAAATCAACAGACTTTCTTCAAGAAGTGGGCGAGTAGCTGGGCGTGGTGGTGCACACCTGTAATCCCAGCACTGAGGGAAGCTGAGGCAGGAGGATCGCAAGTTCAAGTCCTGCCTAGGCAACCTAGCGAGACTCTGTCTCAGAAAAGTTCGAAAGGGCCAGAGATGTAGCTCAGAGGTAGAAGAGCACCCTGGGTTTAATCCCTAGTACTGAAGAAAAAAAAAAAAGTGTGTGGGGTTTACTCAAAACTCCCTTGAGTGAGTGAGTCTCATGCATAAGCCCCTATGAACTTTATTCCTGAAGTGTTTATGTTGCATTTAAAGGAGGGGCTGGAGATGTAGTCAGTGCCAGAGAGCCTGCCCGCCCCGGGCCTGGGTGCCATCCCCAGCACCCCCAGAAAAACAATAGGCTGCACAGGGGAGAGGAAGCGTGGAGCAGCGGCCGCTTGGGAGGAACCAGGGACTGCTGCACGGTCATTTTTTCCCCTGGGGTTAGGGAGGAGGGGTAAAAGAAAAAGGATAATTAGAAAGTTTATGTTTTTGTCCAAAGAAATATTTTAAGACTTTAATGAAAAAGGCCAGGGATGAAGTTCTATATTAACATTAATATTTATTTAATGTTGCAAATAGGATGTCATCTGTTATAAAATAAAAGCAGTTGTCGGCTCACTTGCGTTGTGCTATAGTTGCTGTTTTTGGAAAGTGTGGTTTTTGAAGCTGCTGAGGGAGGCCGCCAAGCCTGGGGAGCGAGTGCTCGCAGCGGGCAGGAGTGCCAGTGTGCCCGCCAGGCCCGGAGGGCTGGGATGTGCCCGCCCGCCCGCCCTGCATGTTCAGTGCTCTGCGGCAGCTTTGGGGAGAGGAGGCTGAGGTGCTGGGTCCCCGGCCCAGGAAGCTGGCTTCCAGAGGGGACCGACCCTGCTGTGCTGCCCACCACAGCCTGCAGCTTCCTAGCGCGCTGTGAACGGAAGGTGCTTTCCCTTCAGTTTTGCACTCGGCTCCGTGGTGTGGCTCCCTCACCTGGGATCTGGGTCCCCGGGCCCTAAGGGAGACAGAGCCTCCCTTACAGAAAGAGCCAGGCGTGGGCCAGCAGCTCCGCAGCTGGCATAGTGCCTAGGAAGGGCTGCGCTCAGCTGTGAGAGGTTCCCTGGGGCTGGCGGATCAGAGGTGTGGCTCTGGGGTGGCGGGTAACCCAGGCCCTCCAAGCCTCGTGCTCAGGGGGCTCAGGCACCCTCCAGGTGGGGCTCGAGTGTCCTCAGGGCCCGAGAGACAGAGCTGTGCCCTTCTCCAGCAGCCGTAGTGACCTGGAGAGCACCTGTGAGGAAGACTCGGGCGCGGGGTGGCTGCTGCTGGAGGCCACTGGGCTCCATCTCCTGTGAGGTGAGGGGGCGTCCCCGCCTGGCCCCAGCCCGGGCAAGAGGCTTCACGCTCCGGACCAGGCCACCTGCCCCGGCCACTGCCGCTGCCAGACAGGTCAGAGCCTGGCTGCCCGCCCACCATGTGGCCCTGGTACCGTGCCAGCTTGTGTGGCCAAAGAGCAGCCTCAGGAGTTGTGCAAAGCCCTGAAGCCACCTGGCCGTGGAGCGGGCACAGCGCAACTGCGGTGCTCCTGGGCTTCCGGGCGACGCGACTGTGGGCTGGGGCTGGGTCTTCTCCTCGTCTTGGGTTGGTGGTGGTGGTTTACACTGAGGACACATCTTCCTGAGATTAAGAGCTTGTCAGCTGTGTATTTTTCAGATACCTGTTTCCAGTTTGGTTCTTTTATAGGGGGGTCACTGGATAAACCAAAGTCTTCTGTTGTGAAATGTCTGAATTTGCTGCCTTTTATTTGGTGGCCAGGGCTCACTGTGTCCAAGAAGTGTGGCCTTAGCCCACGGCATCGATTTATGTTTTCTACTGAAGTCAGACCTGACTCCCAAGCTATGAGCCCTTGGAGCTGGCTCTGGGCATGGAGTGCAGAAGGGACCGAGCCCAGCTTTGCCCTGTGCTGTCCTCCCAGGGCCCCACCCTGGCCAGCCTCCACCCCTCCTGCCCCAGCAGGGCCCCTGGCACCCCAGCCAGGCTGCCCCTGCCTGTCCCCCTTGCCTTTCCCACTGCACTTAGCTGCTCCCCAGGCTGGTGGGACAGCCCTAGGTCCTGGACAGTTTCACCAGAACTCTAGACTCTGTTGGTGGCATTTGAGAACCACTGGAGACTTTTAACTCCCTTTGCACAGAAGCATTCAGGGCCCTGGCGCTGCTCCGTGGTCTCAGGGGCCGCTGTGCCTGGCGCTGCCCCAGCCACGTGCCCTGCCCTGCAACATGCCCAGGGGCTGAGCCGCCAAGCTGGGCCTCGCGGAGCCGGACCTGGCAGCGTCCAGGGCGACTCACTGGTGCCCGGCGCGGGGCTGCCCTGGACGCCAGGCTGGGCCCTCAGCGCGCCCCTCTGTGCTCCAGCTGCTGGAGGCCTGCAGTGCAGCCCACCCAGGCCAGGAGGCTGCAGGTGCACCTGCGCGTGCTGCTCGCCAGCCACACTCTGGGGAAGGGGACCGCGAGGCGCCAGCCTGTGCACCCACCCATCCTCCCGAGAGGCCCGAGCAGGGAGCTGAGGGACCCAGAGGAGGGTGCCGGCCTTGGCCGTGAGGCAGGACAGGGTCCTGTGTGGCCCGTGGGCCCCTCCTGTGCATGCCACCAGCTCTCTGTCCCTGGGACCACAGTACTGGGTCCTGAGCTTCCCTGGGCGGCGGGGGGTGTCACTTAAGGCTCCACTGCTGTGGCGGATCTTGTGATGAGGTGCTGAGTCTAAGTTTTTGCCTCCATCTCTTGTTTGGGTTCCCAGAAAGGAGGTTCAGTTAAAGGATGTACACAGTGCAGCTCCAGAAAGGACGAGGCCGTGTGTGCAGGGTGTCGCGCACCGCAGTCGCCCAGCTCAGGTTCTGCCCAGACCAGGGTCTCACATTGCCACGACAGCATCGTGGGTCCCACGCGGGGGCTCCGCTCTGTGCGCGGGACAGGCTGAGCAGTGCGTCTCTGCACACTCGTGCCGGCGTCCTGTGCGTGCGTGCGTGCGTGCGTGCGTGCGTGCGTGGGTGGGACTCTGCCTCCCTATCTCAGAGTGGGCGGTGGCAGCTCTGGCCGCCCGGCACCCTCTGCTCGTGGAGCTGTACTTGGTTTCGCATGTTAAGTTCACCTTGCACTGACTGCATCTTGTCTTTATGGTCTCTGTGGTAAGAAAAGCTGCACATCCCTGCCCTTGCGCCCAGGCCCAAGTGCTCTATCTGCAGAGCAGCCTCCCGTGATGTGCGTGCTGTCGGAGGCCAGGGCCTTGGCCCGCGCCAAACAAGTGCCCAGCCCTCGGTGCCTGGCTGCACGCGCCTCTTTTCTACTAGGCCTCCAGAGGTGGCTGATGGACAGCTGTTCCCTCTTCCCACCAGACTTCCACTTCCTGGGGCCTCGCCAGTCAGCTCAGCCTGCGCAGCTGCCCAGAGACCAGGACTCCCAAGAGCCACCTTCCCTGCCAGCTTGCCCAGGGCACGACTGCAGGAGCTGCAGGAGGGTGGGTGTGCGCCCACTTGGAGAGGCAGCAGTAGAAGAGGGCGATGTCGCTGCTGGGTGTCCCAGGACGCTCTTGAAAGGTGAGGACAGCAAGGGGAGGCACGCAGCATGGGCACGTGGGGCACACTGGGCACGGGCAGTCCTGACCCATTCAAATGCAGCTCAGAGAACAGCGACAAGGCCCAGCCACGCTGTCACCTGCCTGGCTTGTGGGCTGGGGCTGCCGCAAGAGGAGTGCAGACAGCAAAGGTGTGGGCTGCCTGTGTTTCATGTTTTAGAGAAACACTAGTCCTGGCTACTTAGGGTGTTTTTCTTTTAAAGCAATTGTCATCAGTTCTTTAGAGTGGCTTTTTCTGTGACTGTGTTGGGAAAAACATAATGGACCCTGAAGGATGACATGATAGTAACTAATTCTATCTCCAAGAAGTGCTGCGCTGGTTTCATCCTGCTATAAACAACGTTGTCTGGCCTCTTAATTTGCGTACTATCACTGGGAGACTCTTGCAGTAGTAATGAGGGTCCTAGGGAAACTGTACCTGGGAAGTTAGATTTCATTGTATTAAGCCCATGAGGCTTGGATTGCAGTTTCGGGCGGGAAAGGCTAACAGGTTTATTCTCAGCCTGCTGTGTTCCCTGTTACACCGGGCGTTTCCTGTCCACAGGGACCCAGACAGCCACGTCCCTCGGCCCCTCCATGGGCAGCCCTCGCTGCAGCCACCACGCTACGCGGGGCACCTGGGTGCCTAGGGCAAAGCTGATCTTGGGACGCTCCCAGGAAAGAGAAGTTCACCTTTGCTAGCGTGTAGGTGAAACGCATCTGGCTGTCTTGCCAGGACACTGAGGTTTAAAACACAGCTCGACAACGACTGGCATTGTATAAAATAACAAATTTTATTTATAGAAAATAATTTCCACTAACTGCACATGCACACACCCACACGGCACCAAATCACACGTGAATTTGTCTTTTAATAAATCTACCACAAACCGTTACATTACAATTTACAGTAAGGTTTTGAAGACACAGTGGGGGAAGCTTTGTCATTGACTTATAAACCTTCCAGAAGTTACAAAAGAAAGGCAGTCTGAAAAGTATAAAGAGTAAAAACAACCACAAGTGGACAAGAATTACAAAATAGTAACCATCACATACATCGGTCAGCAATGCTGTGGCCTGCGGGAGTGCGGGAGGAGTGGTGTGGGCTGCGTGTGTGTGGCCTCGCGTGTGCTGTGGGTGTGGGCTGTGGTCTCCTGAGGGGCGTGCAAGCGGGCGGAGCTCCGGGCGCCACGCACTCCGCGCAGAGGCAGCAGCTCGGGCGGCTGCGCTCTGCGGCCGGCGGCGTGAGCCCCGTGTGTGTGTGGCGGGCTAAGGCCGGCCTGAGCAGGGTGCGTGAGGGTGGAGACCAGGAATGCACGACACGAGGAAGTAGACACTGCGTTTTTATTAGACAGTACAGCTCATGTGCATTTATAAGGCAGAACATCAAGGCGGACTGAACTAGGACTCCCAAGGCCAGAGTCGAGTGAGAGCTATGCAATGAGGCGAGCATTCTGGGGGGGCGGTGGGAAGTCATTCCTTGGGGCGCGCGATGGACGGACGGCCAGGAGCCCGACTGCGCGGGGCGGGGCGGCGCGGGGCGAGGCGGGGC